CCCGGCCAGCAGCCGGCGCGGGCTGAGAACAGCCCGTGTCCCTTCCCACTCAGAGCGCGTCTGTCCTGAGGACGGAGCAAAAATAACCTCGGTTTTTATAGACGCATTTTTCCCAAGGTCCCGGCCCATAATCTTATTAAGTTTAGCAGTTCAAAATAATTTCCCTGGGAAAATTTGAAAACTGACCCTTGAAAAACTTGGAAAAAATTAACTTTGAAAAATAAATATTGTGATTTTCAATCTCCAAAAATGATTATCGCCCCAAAAATGAGAAGTATGTTCTGCAGCAGAAAATACGCGCACAGCCCCTTGCCTGGCCCCTGGTGGCTCCCGCTAGGAACCTGGAGCGGTAGGCGACACCCGGCGGAGGCCGGTGCCCACAGGCGTCTGGCTCGTTAATCACACGAAAGTCGCTAAGGGACTCCATCTTGACGGTCCCGCTGCAAACAGAGGAGGCGCGTGGACGTGCTGGCCGGGCCTGCTGCACTGTCACTGCGGCCCGCTGGCCCATAACGGGGTCCCCGGGGAAAGGGGAGGCGGGTGGGGCCGAGCAGAGGAGGGGACAGAGGGAAGGAAGCCGAAGGAGAAGGGAGCGGGACGGAGCCGGAAGGGGCCTGAGGAGGCCACGCGGAGCACGAGCGCGTGACGGAGACGCCGCGCCGCTGCCGCCCGGCTGGCCGACGCGCCGTGGGCGAGACCGCGGGGAGGCGGCTGCGGCCGCGCGTGTCTCGGTCGCCGCCGGGCTCTTTCCCTCCCGGACGTGCCTGGCCACGTCTGACCCTTCCTGCGGCCCCGGCCAGAAGGTGCTTTCGGCCGGTGACGGGCTGTGGGGCCTTGCCCCGGGCCAGGCCCTCCTGGGGGGACTTTTGCCCACGAGGGGACGGGTCGCCTCGGGTGTTGGATGTAGAAACTATCTTCTTTGTCTCCGTGGTGTAACTGCCTGTACTAAAGTCCCTTTTCATTAAAGTCTGACGGGCTTTGTCTTGATGCGGCGGATGGCGGAACCCACTTAGGGCAGGCAGGTTTGGGGGCTCAGGGCCCCCTCTCCCTGCCCTGTAACAGCCTGAGTTTCACCTTCAAAATCTGAAGACAGCAAACAAGAAACCATGTGATCCCACTATCCACAGCTTACTGCTGGCACTGAAGGGCTCGTCAAGGACGTGAGTCCTGGGGGGGCGGAGGCCAGACTGACCCCGGGGGTCAGGGGTCCAGGTGTTGGCTGCAGGCCTGCCTCGAGGTGGTTCTGGAAGAGATTATGCCCCACCCGAGCCAGGCCCTGTGAGCCCCACCTCACACAGGCCCTGGGGCCCAAGAGCACACCCACACCCTCAACCTCGGAACTGACCACCCACGGCCGCCCTGCCAGCAAGCAGCTGACCTGCTCCCTGCAAGGAGAGCCGACTCCCGGGGCCGCTGGGGTGATCTTTCCGGGGCAAGCACGCCTCTGCTGTGCAGGTGAGGCCGCCTTGGGTCGCTGTTCTGGCGTGGGATAAACGGCCTCGCCTCAGCCCTCTGGCCCTCTCGGGGAGGCCGAGCCTCCGCGCTGGCCACGCTCCTGCGTGAGCTGGATCCTCCTTCAAAGAAGACATCTGCTAGGGGGCTGGGCTTCAGCTGCGCTTCTCTCACTCTTCCAAACAAAGCTGGGGAGCAGTCCCCGGCCTCTCCTGCCTCCGGCCTGGCTGATCTGGAGTCGCCCTGGAAGCTGGGCCACACTCCGTCACTGGCCTGGCACCAGTCACAGGCGTATGCCACATCCCCACATGCTCTGTCCTGGCCAGGGAGCAGGGCCGGGCTGCCTGCCGCAGGGCCTCTGAGCCCACGAGTGTCCTGCCACTGGCCGGCCGGGCTGGGCTGAGCGCACTCCAGCCGGCCAGTGCCCTCAGGCAGTACAGCGGACTCAGGGCTGCGCTGGCATGTCCTGGAGTTTGCCCTGACTGTGTTCCTGATGTCTGCGTCCCTCCCTGCAGAGGGGATCTGTGGCTCTGTGGCTTCTGTGGCCCTTCGAGCGCCCAGTCCTGAATCTCGGGCACAGCCCCCGGTTGCAAGCAAGGACTAGAAACACAGCATATCAGAACTGCTTTTATTTATTTATTTAAAAGATTTGTTTATGCACTCAGAACTGGGGTGCAGGCCAGAGGTGCAGGGGTGGTGAGAGGATGCACCAGAGACAGAGTGGGGAGCAGAACCGGCAGATCGATGAAGTACACTGCTGAGGGGAGCAGCAGGAGACAGGAGGGGTCTGCTGTGCCCTGTGGGTCACCCCCGCTGAAGCTGGCTGGCAGTGCTGCACTTTAAACTGCTGCGCCACCAGGGAGGGCCCCGGGATTGCTTTTAAAAGCCCAGAGTCCGCCTCCCGAGAGCTGAAGCCCAGCAGTAACTGGCCGGGTATGAAATGTCCAGCGCAGCCAGGCTCGGGGCCTCAGGCGGGCGGTGTGCTGCACGTCCACGCAAGGGGCTCCCTCTCCACCTGGAAAATGCCCAGCTACATCCTGTCCACTCCAGGGTGGGAGGCCTGAAGGCCACTGGACAGCCCGCCCTGTGGCTCCCAGGACACACTCGGACCCGGGCTGGCTCCTGAGGGTGAGCTGGGGATCTGAGAATGGCTGGCCACCTCTCTCCAGAGACGGAGCAGCCCAGCGGGCTGTGGAGCGCATGGACACGATCAAAAGCACCGTTTCGGGAATGTCCCACTTCCTGCAGGTCACGGCCTCTCGGCTGCCTGTCTCGTCTCGCTGCCTTCAAAGGCACGTCGGAGGCATCGGGATGAAAGGAAGCGTGATTAAAGAGCCGGGAGATGAAACGGGAGCAGAGAAGGAAGAGGTGGAGACCCGCGTCTCGGGGGCTGAGGCGGGGTCGTGGGGCTGGCTGGGGCTCCCGCACCGGGGTGGCGGGCAGTCCTGCAGCACCTCCGGGAGCCTGCCCCAAGGCCAGAGTGCACGGGGCCTCGGCCCTGGCCCCGGACAGGCCGGCACCTTCCGGCGTCGAGGCCCAAGCACGTGTGCCCGACGGAAGGGGTGCGAGGGCGCCACGGTGACTCCCCGCGCGGCTGCCAGTGTCTGTGGAGCTCCGAGCTGGCAGCTCGGAGGTGCCGGAGCCTCGTGCCCAGAGGAAGCTCCCTGGCGCACACCAAGCTCTGGCAGGTGGTGGAGCAGAGGGAGTTAGAATGAGCTCAGTGCATTGCCCAAAATCACACACTTAGTGGGGGACAGTGAAACCAGGACCCCCCGGCTCGCAGCTGCGGGGCAAGGCTGGCACTGGCTGCTCTTCACTGGCCCCCGAAGCACGTGTGGGCAGCGCCAGCAGCAGGCGGGGGCACTTTACACCCCCGCAGGGCTCAGGGCTCAGGCTGCAGGCAGAGGCCACGGTGATGCGGGTGGGGGTGGCCGCCCACCATGGTGCCCGGGGCTGCAGACGCTGGCCCGATTCAGTGTCTTGCCCAGTGGAGTTAGGGGCGTTGCAGGCGGAGCCCAGAGCTCACGCGTATACTGTGGCCTGACCGCTCGCTAAGCGTCGAAGGCAACTCAGTGGCCCTTGAGCAAGGAGGGGGCAGCGGCATTTGACCGGCGATGGCCCACAGCTGCGGCCCCAGCCGGGAGGACGGGTCCAGCCGGCCGCGCTCCCGGGACGGTGCTCCCTGAGCCAGGCGGGCCCTGCGCTCTGCGGCCAGTGGACCTCCCAGCCGGCGAGCAGGTGGGGAGCCGGCCTCGGCGCCTGGGCCGTGAACTCCCAGAGGTAATTTTGTTAAACGAAAGCGAGTCAGATGCGCCAGCGTCCGTCCTGACGCTGGCAGCCCCTCGAGGCCCGAGCGAGCGTGGGCAGGCGGGGTCTTCCTCCCACGGGATGTGGACAGAAAGGGCCAGGCGACATCTGCCACCAGCCGCCTGCACGTCGTGGCGTCGTTGAGACACCCCCCGGCCCCGAATGCTAGGGATGCTTCCGACTCAGTCCCAAGCCAGCTGCCCTCCAAAAGCATGACTGTCTTGAGGGTCCCTCCTGGGAGCTCCGGACGGGGGGCCTGTAACGGACCCGGAGGTCAAGCCTGGAGCACTGCCTGGAGGAGGAGCAGCTGTAAGCGGCTCCCGACTACTGAGAGGTGAGAGTGAGGGGCGGGTTTAGAAGCCTGGGTGCGCATGACCCCGCCCGGCTGGCCAGCTCGGGGGTCCCGGGTCAGCAGCAGTCTGTGCGGCGGGTCGGCGGTGACCAACGGGCCGCAAGTCAGCCGTTCGCGGAAACACGAGTTTAGCTACACGTATCAAGGCAATGGCGGGACGGTGCCGGCGGGGGGCGGCCTCCAGAAACCGGCCCTTGCTGTTCTGCCACGAAACTTCAGATACCACAGCCGCCTGCGCTTGGACTCTCTGCCCGAGCGTCTCTGAGCTCCGCCCCGCCTGCGCGGAGACTCAGCCGGCCGCTGTCCACGCAGTGGGAACACACAGCAGGCGCGGCCACGCAGGACGCCGCAGCTCCCTCGGGCAGGGGCACTTTCCGAGGGCCTGCGACCAAAGGCGGAAGCCCGGACTCTCCGAGCCGCGAGGGAGGCTGCAGACGGGCACCCGCTGCGGGGTGGGACAGGCGGGCGCGGGCGCCGCGGTCAGGCGGGGACAGAGAACCGCTCCTTGTCAGCAACGAAAACAGGGCCGCGCCGGGTAATTACATGCTACAGTCTCGTGAGAGCAGAAACCGTCATTTCCATTTGGGTTCTCAATGAAAATGAGTCTTCTCGCTTTTCTGAGCCAGACCAGCTGCCACTCAGCTTGCTAGAGGCTGATCTGGGCCGGCCCCGCCCGCTGGCCTCACAGCCCTGGCCAGCGTCCCACGGGCGAGCCCACAGCCGCCCGCCGGCCTGCCCCCACGGCCTGCCCTTGGGCCTCAGTGTCCTCCTGGGAAGGTGGCTCCCGGGCCCCAAGCACAGGGGGCTGAGGGGGCCCCAGACAAAGCCAGTTTGGGCTGTCTCAGCCCCGCTTGTCCGAGGCCTTCGCCCGAACTCACTGGCGCCAGAGTCAGCCGTGGGGTCTCCTTCGGGGAAGAGCACGGTGCGAGGGGCAGCCCGTGTGTGGCCGAGGGCAGCCGGAGGCATTGAGCGCGTCCAGGGGCACCAGCCGCGGCGGTGGGTGGGAGCGGCCGGGCCGTTCAGCCCGCACTGGGGGTCTGAGGCGTCCTGCCCTCGCTCGCCCGACCCGCCGAGCCGAGCTCCACCTGGAGAAGGGCCCAGCACGGAGCCAGGTCCCCTCTCCCGGCGGGAACAGGCAGGCGGCGTGGCCCTGGCGTCGGCGTGTGACTGCAGCCTGAGGCCTCTGCTGCGGTCATGACCCCATGGGCGTCCTCCTCCAGGCTGGGGGCTCCCGAGAAGGGCCGGGCGCTGGCACCCGCTGCCTCCGCCGCGGCAGAGACCCGAGCTCCCCTGCCGGCCCCGCTGCCCGCTGGGGAGTGACCGCGAGGCGGGCGCTAGCTTGGGCTCCTCCAGAGAAGCTTCTCCGGGAGCCCGCCGGGCCGACCCGCTGCACTGCCCCCCCAGCCTCGGCCTCCTCCTGCCCGCCTGCCCGCCTGGCCCCGCTGTTTTACGTCTCCAGGGAGACAGCGCCTCTCCCTGCTCAGCACGAGGGTGCTGGCCAAGGGCGAAGGGCCCCCCAACACCGCCCAGGGAGTCAGCGGGCTCCTCAGGATGAAGGCGCCTGGAGCCCCGCAGGCACCCCGCGGCGCGGTTTCTCGTTGCATTTAAGTCCACGGGAAAGGGGGGGACTCCTAGCCGGGGAGGCCGCTAGAGAAAGCCCCCGGCGCACCCCACTCGCTCGCTCACCAGCAGGCAGGAGGCGCTTGCACACTCGCCAGGACCTCGCCCCGCACACCGGTGGCGCGCACACACTCACCTGTGTCCCGCACACCAGGCCACGCTAGAAACGTGGCCCGGCCCGCGGGCAGACCGAGCGGCAGCCAGGGCTCACAGGGCGCCGCGAGGCGCCGGGCGTCAGAGCGTCTGCTGGCCCGGGCTCCAGGGCAAGCTGCGAGCCCCGTCTGTCCCAGGGTGCCAGGTCAGAGGTCAGG